CCTGAACAAAGGCACTTCAGTTTAACAGGCAGGCAGAGGGGCAGGGTTCTCTGAGGCAGGTCATGATGTATGGTTATAATAACAAAAACAATAGAAAGCAACTCAAAGAAAGTTTCAACATGGAGTCAGAATTGGCTTTTCCCTGCAACAAATCTATTGGCTATAATCCTGAAAAAGTTATCGCAGCTCCTAAAAGGACAGCACTATTCCTTCCTTTGTAAAGTTCAAATGGATTGAAAGTTATAAGAGCAGGGTTTTTTGTAAATTATAAAAAATATACCATTGGTCTAGATAAAACAGAAATGCATTTCCTTTTAAAATATAAATTAGAGATAAAAATATACTAAAATCTATAAGAAAGAATGGTACAAATGTGGTAAAAGTGATGAAAAAAATTGTAGGTAATGAGCAGGAAAAGATAATAAGGAAAGTGAAAAAAAGCAAATATAAGGAGCTAGACCACTGAAAAGAAAAGAAAGAGAGGAGAGAGGATGAGCTGGAAGGAAAGAAAAATAAACTCAAGGAAGAAAAAAGAGATAACATATCAGATTGAGGAGGCAACAAATACAAACCATAAAAGAAGAAAGTAAGAGGGGAAAAAACAGGGTTTCTCTGAGCAAATAGGTCGATAAGAAGCATCAGTAAAGCACACATGCCCTGCTGGCTTTTCTGATCAGAAAGAGAAATAACTATGAGGATGTTCTGGAGTCGTCTGTGTGTCTGTAGGAATTTGTAAGAGTTCACAGAGATTTGAGATTTGGGAGTCCATGCAGAGTAGAACTTCAGCTGGCTGTTTTTCTCCTGTATAGCTCCAAGTGAGGAGAGTTTAAATGAGGTTTTCTTTCTTTCTTTCTTTCTTGTTGGCCAAGCTGCACAGCTTGTGCAATTTCAGTTCCCGGACTAAGGATCAAACCCCAAGGCCATCACAGTGACAGCGTGGAGTCCTAACCCCTGAACGACCAGGGAATTCTCTAACAGACAGATCTGGCCATCTGAGGAGCAGAGAGGATGGGAGGATGGGAGAGGTTCAGGTGGGGAAGGTAGCAGGTGACTGGAGCAGAGGTCCATTGAGCGGATGTTACTCGCTCAGTCATGTCCGACTCTTTGCAACCCGTGGACTCGAGCCCGCCAGGTTCCTCCGTCCATGGGATTTTCCAGGCAAGAATACTGGAGTGGGTTGCCATTTCCTCCTCCAGGGGATCTTCCCCATCCAGGAATCAAACTTGGGTCTCCTGCATTGGCAGGCAGATTCTTTACCATCCGAGCCACCAGGGAAGCCCCCATTGAGTATAATTGGGGGAAAACATGCCTAAGGACAGGTGACAAGAGGAAATAAAAGCTTAGAGAAGGAGTCCAGTGGGGCTTTCACCCTCAGGAAATGGAGACCTCCAACAGCATTCCAACGCAGAGAGATCATCCATCTCTCCTGAGATCATCCATCAAGGCAATGTCTGTAAGCAACAGCAAGTAATACAAAACCGAAGAAAGACCTTACATCAGACAGGCAAGCCACAACTGCATTTCATGGAAATGCACCCAGAACAATGCGTCTTTCCTACTTGGTAATCCAGAGTGCTGGGTGAATGAATCCTCACAGAGCTAAGAGTACCTCGGATGCCTCCCGGGAAGCAGAAGATGCTAAACAAAGTCAATTTAGTTCTTTAGCCCACGTGCTGTGTTAGTCGTGTCCACCTCTTTGCGACCCCATGGACTATAACACCAGGCTCCTCTGTCCATGGGATTCTCCAGGTAAGAATACTGGAGCGGGTGGCCATTCCTATTCTCATTCCCGAAGCAGGTATCGAACCCGGGTCTCCTGCACTGCTGGCAAGCTTTATAGTCTGAGCCACCAGAGATGCCCCTTTAGACCAAAAACATTGCCTAAAGCAAATAAGATATTTGGAAAAGACACATTTAGGGAAAACAGAAGGGATAATTAAGAAGAAGGTGGAAGAGCTGAAGTTGGGTGGCCCACACAGGAGCAAAGGGGCGGGTACGCTGAGGCCCAGAGGGGAGGGCTGCCCGTTGTGTTGCAGTGTCCTCACCTCTTTCTTTCCACAAAACAGTATAAATATTCATAAGGTCATGCTAACGAAGGAAAAGTGGAAGAAATTAAAAGGAGTAGCACTGAAAAGGTCAGAGATAAATACGTTCTCATCACTGGAATGTGTAGAATGTGAGGCTCTCAGTGACAAACTTTAGAAAAGAACATCTATGGAAAGCTGGTAATAGCAACCAAGTTTGTCTCTCAAAGACACAAAAGGGGCTCCTCTGCTATGTCGCAGAGAAATATTAAAACGCTTTGGAACCTCAGTTATGGACAGGAATCTACCGGGAGTGAGGGAAAGAAGGCGGTTCCGGAGACGGCCTCGTTTCCTTCTAGGAAGAAGCAGCAGAGACTAAACACAGCACCACAGCTCTGCAACTGGCCTCTCCCTTCCACAGACAAGTTTTCCTCCACCTGCACTGGCATCACTTCATTCATCCGTCAAACGAATGCCACTGTATCCTTCAATGTAGTTTTTTGGTTCCAAGTTAAAATCTATTCATACCTACAGAATCTGGTATTGTAAAAAAAAATAGTAATTATTATAAGAAGTTGCTTTTTGAAAAATTAAACTCTCAAAAAGAAAGTTAATAACATGTCAATGTAGAAAGCAGGAGGCTTCCACAATGATTACAAAAGCTAAATCTTGTTTCTTTAAGACAAAAAGAATTTGTAAAAGAAGTAGCCGGCGATCTATAGGTGTCACCAAATTCTCATTGAGGAAGCCGACGTTTTTTCCCAGAAGGAGCTTGTGAAACCAGACTGCTACCTTTAAAAAGAGTAACATTAAAAGCCACACAAAATAGGAAGCTCTGGTTAGGAAATTTAAAAAGATATCAGATCACAAATTTTCAAAATGGAAAATAATGATTTGGAGAAATAAAGGATCAAAATCATGGTCTCCTCATCATAACCTATATAAGTTTTGAGAAAGAATTCCTCACCTGAGTTATCAATATGTTAAATTAATTTTTTGGAAATTTCTCCTCTAAGGAAGATTTCAACCAAAGGCACGTTTTTCTGTGAAATTTTCTGCTAGCAAATGGAACACAAATTATGCTGGAGTTCATAAAATTCCTTGTATCTCAAAAGAATAAATTAATATAACATTAGAAAATCTTTCTCTATTAATATTTACCCCTACTCCCAATATCAGTCTAAATCACAGTTATGTTACAACCCAAAGTAATAGAAAATGTAAGATAACATTTCAAGTATATATATTTTGGCAAAATTAATGATATTTTAAAGAGTAGTAACAACTCATACATTTTCTTGAAAGATCTCTATGTCATAGAACAGGCTAATCTACTAAAAAAAAAAACAAAAAACACCTTACAAGCTTAATATAAAATAAAATTGAAACTACACATCAAAATATACAAACCATTTCCTCTTAAATACATTGTTACAACAGACATGGACATAAATAATAGTTACTTGCATCAGGGAGTAAAATTGAGATTTGACTATTGACAACACTTCATTACATACTTTCATATAATCTACTATCCATCTTAATAGCCAAAAATGGGTCCAAAGTTGGTTACTGTCCCTCTTTCACCAGCATGTACACTCCTAAACTCATTTCTTTTTTACCTTCTCTCCGTCCAATAAAATCCCTGCCCCTACCCCCAGTTAGATTTCCAAAGATTAGGAAGTGACCTTATCATCAGAGAAGGATCCAACACAAAATAACACTATAAATCATTTGAGTTGAGCATTTTCTTTTCCCAGTTTATATTCATTATATCTGCATCAAACACATCTCTTGGAGAATACATCTTAATGCTTCTATTTAGTTTAGCAAAATATTTAGTGTACCTCCAAAAACAAGAGTGAAATTAACCAAAATCATCCCTAACATTTTTAATTTATACTTTCACACCCATTTTCATTAAACCTTTTCAACACCCCTGCAAGACAGGTGCTGCCTCTGCCCTCTGGCTCCCCCATCCTCCAGGTGAGGATTGTTGGAGTTTGCGGCTGGACTGGACAGGGTACCAAGAGCAGGATGCAGCAGTCACGTGGGTGCGCTGGACTGGGATAGGAAGAGTCTAAACTTGAGCTTGTGTCTTTGAGTGGCAGTTGTAGGATGGCACATGTCTGAATAAAGTCAGGGTGCTATTGGCATGCTAAGGGGCTGGACCTCAAGTCCCATCCCTGGGATGAAGACAACTGGCAGGACACAGTCAGAAGGCTAAGCCAGGGGCAGTCTTGTGGGAACTGCCCAAGTGTAGCCCTTGAAGGGGCAGGAGGTAAGAGGGGTTAGAGGGGTCAGGAAGAATCACACTTTCCGAAGGCCATTTCTCCTCCAGGACAGAGGAATCTAAAATCGGCTAGCTGGACAAGTGGCAGTTTAGAGAAGGTTAAATGACAGATTTAACCATGATCAAGAAAATGTGAAAATTCAGAAGTGACCCACAGAGGAAGGCGGTGTGGGTAAGAGGGACCCCCCAAAGAAACTTGGGATTCCTCCGAGTTATTCTGAGTCAGAGGCTCAGATGCAATCAAGTGCTTGCTCAGGTGCTGAGCCCCCGGCTCTGGGTCAGGCCAATATCAAGTGACAACCAAGCTTCCTCTGAGACACTGACATTCAGTGCCTCAAGTTGCCCACAATTCCAGGAGAAAGAAGGCTGAAGAGTCAAAAACAAAGCCGAGACTCAGAGCATTGAACGCCAATGACCACACACCAAGGATGCTCTGGTCAGTGTTGGGATACAGTCTCCAGATTCCAGAGCCCACAGTTTTCCCATTTTGAGCCACACTGGAAATAACATCTCAGAAGCCAATTTTGATTATATGTGAAACCTCACCTAAAATGGAGGAAATTATGCTGAGGGCTGGAATTCAGATTATCTGGGCAAAATTCCCTACACACTGTCTCTAACACACCAAACTGAGATGGAGTTGAAGCCCATGCAGTTTTAGATACAAGATATCCACAACTCACCGATGAAGTGATTCTGCCCCAAGGCAAGCATCTCCTCCAAGAGAACAAGGCCCCCAGGAGCCTGCAGGAGGGTCACACTCCGTCCATCGATAAGGGAGCACTGCTGAAATCCCGTGGCCGTGACCTTCCACAGCAAAATCAGCGAGGCAGTGGCGTCTTGCCGAATTCTGAAAACAAGAACAACATCAATGGAAACTCCCTTTCAGAAAAATTCATCTTAGAATCAGGCCATCAGGTTAAAACTAAAAATAAAGATGATGCATACCCCCATAAAAGTATCAAGAAATGGATGACATGATCTTCTAAACAGGCGCCTGCTTTATGTGGACTCATGACGATCAATTTCCATGCTGTTAGAAACACCCATCTCCCACTTGATCAAAAATATACCACAAAATCACTAATAGGTAACTCTAGGTCATAGTTTTCATCAATAATAAAAGGGTCTGTTGAGTTTAGAGACAACTTCTTCCATGCATGTGTGTTAGTCACTCGCTCATGTCCGACTCTTTGTGACCCCATGAACTACATCCCACCAGGCTGCTATATTCATGGAATTCTCCAGACAAGAATACCAGAGGGTGTAGCCATTCCCTTCTCCAGGGGATCTTCCCAACCCAGGGATTGAACTCTGCATTGCAGGCAGATTCTTTTCCATCTGGGCCACCAGGGCAGCCCAACTTCTTCCATACCCACACGATGAAGAGTTCTGCTAGAATTTATTATACAGTGTAACACATCCCCAAACCACCTGCGTTTGCTGCTAAAATAAGTGAAAGCCTCCCATGCTTCAGGCCGCCCCTGGTTTTTCCTTGTTTTCAGGATAAAATCCAAAGAATGAGATGCCCTAACAGACAAACCCACCCGGCCTCCATTCCTCTCAGTCTCCGATCGTGCAGCTCCACCCTTGCCATCCACGCGGTCTACTGTGTCTTCCCCCAGGACTTCCTATCCCATCTCCCAGCCATTGCCCCCCCTCCACTGGGAACCTGTCACTCTTCAAGGCCTACCCCACTAGCACCCCTCCTCCAGGACCTTCCCCTCTCTTCCCAGCACTGGTAGCTGCCGCTCCCTCCTCTGAGCTGCTGGGGAAGCAGGTCACAGTGCACAGATCTGATCCCTCCCCACCCAGACCAGAGCTCCTGGCTTGCAGCAAGGGTCTCAATAAAGGGTCAATAAACGATCAGATTCACGAATAAATGAAAGCGTTAAGGGGCTAGCAACCCTCCCACGTGAATCCACCACCCAGAGATCATGCTTCACTTCCATCTTACTCAGCTTGGGTCACTGCTATTTCTAACTCTGCAGCCTCAGGGTCTTGGGAATTTCAGATTTGTTGTGGGGGCAGTGGCGGGTGGAGAGGAAGGCAGCATTTAAAAAGCATAGATCAGAAGTTTTCCGAAAGGCTTATGCAAGTAAAGCAACATGACCCAGACAAGGAAGAACTGGGGCATGGTTTCATAAACATAAAGGAAACCAATGATTTCCCTGAAACCAGCTCTGGACGGTGGGGTTTCCGTCTTCGGTAGGAGCAACAGAACACTTAGGACAGGGGTCCCCCTACTGGTAGAACTCGGAGCTGCTCCCAGGCCTCACCCTCCTCCCTGCCAGCCGTCTTCCCTGTGTCCATCCTGGCTCTTCCCCACCAGGTGACTTCAAGGTGGGGGCAGGGGATACAGGGGTAATGGAACAAAGCCCCTGGCCCAAACATTTTTAGAGACTCCTTTGTTTAGAAGGCAAGGCGTACAAAAATGACCCTGCGTGGTCCAAGTGAAGAGTGCCCACTGCCCTCTTAAAATGGAGTCACTGCAGTATCCTGGTTAACCTGGGCCAGGTCGGCCCCCCCCGCCCCCCAAAGTCCCACCCTCTCTTCTGACGTCCCTTAAGACTAGACAGCAAGTGCCTATTTGGGTACATGAGGGGTAGCTTCCCTGGGAGCTCAGCTGGTAAAGAATCCACCTGCAATGTAGGAGGTCCAGGTTCGATTCCTGATTTGGGAAGATCCCCTGGAGAAAGGGAAAGGCTACCCACTCCAGTATTCTTGGGCTTTCCTGGTGGCGCAGACAGTAAAGAATCTGCCTGCAATGTGGGAGACCTGGGTTCAATCCCTGGGTTGGGAAGATCCCCTGGAGGAGGGCATGGCAATCCACTCCAGTGTTCTTGCCTGGAGAATCCCCGTGGACAGAGGAGCCTGGTAAGCTACAGTCCACGGGGCCGCAGAGAGTCAGACACGACTGAGCAACTAAGCACAGCCCAGGGTGGGGAGCTGTCAGACAGGTCAAAGGTGCCCCATGCAGCCTCCACCCCCGCTCCCCAGCAATGCACAGCACCTGGTGTCCCCACAGGTACCGTCAACACCACTTCCCTTTGCCTCCTCCTCACCCCCTGCAGTGACAACAAGCAGTATGTAATTTGAAGGAGCATAAATTTAAAACACAACAAAACACGCATCTCACCTGCTTGTTTTTAAAGAGATAATTGCAATGCTTGGATGTTAAATGTGGGGTAAATCATGCATATGAATTTCACCCATGGTCCATTAAAATCTAAAGAAGCCAAAGAATCTGGGAAGCAAAAGTCACTGAGGAAGCAGAGGGTCTGGCTCTAGACCTTAGCTAAGGCTCCTGGGTTTCTTATCTCCCACCTAACTCATCCCACCCAGCATCCCTGGAGTCTCCTCTGAAATCGGCTCTGAAATCTAGATCCTAAGGGACACAGGCCTCATCGACACATGGAATTCCATTCTTGGTTCCCACTGGGCTGACCCATTACAGGAAAGTTATGTGAACAGACTCCACCCAGGCAGCCAGAGAATCAACGGTAACCACGTTTCACTGGAAGTTTTCTTACTTGACTGAGGTGTTCTGTGGGACTTCAAAGGATACCAGACGGCCCCCTGCAGAGCTGTTGGCACTGGCATTCCCACAGGCAATGTCTGGAACCACCTGGAGGGGGATAAAAAAGCACCACAAAAAAGACAGGTTATTAGGGTTAATCATGGGGCAAGACCATATTAGAAAGCAAAACCCCACGGGCCACCTCTACTCCATTCTTTGGATGATGCTGGGGATCGTGACTGGAGAAGCCAAGTGAAATCTTACAAAAACGCTAACCACAGTGAAAGCTTTGCCATCTGAGTTTGTGAAACACAAAAGCTTTGCTGAGAGCAGTCTGCAAATTTCCAGGATGACTACACTGCTAATAGGATGTTACAGGGAAGGGTGGGAGATTGGCCCCCTTCTCTCTTTCAGCCTGCAAGCAATCACAGGCCTCTGCTCTCTGCTCAGTCTGGGGGATAATGAGGGACTAAATGCTTAGAGAACAAGGAGACGGCCTTAGAGGAGTAGCTTCCACATTGTGGGTAGAAATCCGAAAGACTAGAAGAACAAGCCTTCCAGAGAGCCATAGACAGGACGTATCTGGTCCAAATGACCCTGCTTGGTTCACAGGTGGATGTGGGAGAATGTGCTGAGGCCAGGTAGCTGGGAGCTGCCCTTTTCCGTCCCCTGTGGACCAGATCTTCATTTTTAAGTGACGTGTTCCGGAAAGCATTATACTGACGTGCATTTAAGAAAAGGAGCTCGAGGGGGGAATTGTGCTCATCAGGAAGCATATTGCTAATACTTGAGCTGTGTCCAGTGACGGGCTTCTGACCCGTTCATTCATCTATTCCTCATGCTGTGATCTGTGCTCATCCCCCGAGAGTTGGAATAAAAGGGTATTAAAAGCATTTGTCATCACTGAATTAACAGAGGACAATACAGAAATGCTCAGCACTTTCACCCCACTCCCAGCATGCACAACTTATTGTCCAAAAATATAATCACATGTTCCTCTGGCACCTGTAACTTGCTTATTGAACAGCCTAAGAGATAACAGCATAACAGGAAGGCGAGGCATTTCTTTTTTATATTTACCAACCACAGGAGAGCATGGTTGGCGGGGGAGATGTTAATGGTTGGCTGGGGAGAAATTTTCTTTAAGGGACAGTTCCTTGATAAACATAGGACCAAACCTAGTTCACAATCAAGAAGTGAGTCATTTAGCAAAGAGGTATTAAAGTCCTAACTTCAAAGCCTCGATTGTAAGTTTGAAATCAGAACAAGTTCACAGTTTTTTAGGCAGCATAAAAACACTGTCCTTCAGCCTGAATGGGCCTTCAAAAATTGGTGGCAATGAAAAAAAGTGGGTCAATTGGTTAGAATTACCTAGGAACATAAAACAAGAAATGCTGCCTTACTTTTTTATAACCATAATCAAAATTTCTGGACATATTCTTTGGCTCTAAAAACGCTATACAAAGATCTATGTGGGCTTTTTTTTTTCCAGGTAAGCTAAAAGCCTGTCATAACATACAACCACAGGTCTATACTGATAAGGAATACTATATGGAATGGAATTTCACTTTATCGATGTTAACTCAAACCCACGATTTCCGTTTGTCCTACTTCAATTCTTCTAGCTAGCAAATTTATATTTTATGTCAACTTTTAAAGGTCTGCTGGAAAATCCTCAGCGTGAAACTTCAGATGGGCTTGAAGGTACAATAAGCCAAACCCAGACCAGACAAACTCAATGAACAGAATCTGCTGTTGCCAAAATTAATCAAATTTGGAAATTTCATTCTTAAATGCATTGCCAAAATATTGTAAAAATCAATAATATATTTTTTCTAAATCCCACTGAAGTGCTGCAAGTTACCAACAATAGAATCTAAACTATGACAAACTAAAACTGAAGCATAAAATTCCATGGAGGGAAATTAGGTCAGTAATTGAGGGTCTATAATATGTTCATTGATAGTACTCTTCATTGAGCTGCCTGTCCCAAATCTAAGATTATCTCACATATGTGGATATCATTTCAGAAAATAATTTCATTCAGTTTATTCCTTGTTTTCTCTTCTTATGCTCATAAAACAATCATAATTGGCATGTCTTATTTACACAACCGAGAGAGAGATTTCCTACACAGAAAGGCAGATGGGAAAAAAGTATGGCATCTTTTGTTCAATGTATAACTTAAAGGCTTTTGATTTTTATTGCTGATATTAGAACCACTGGAATGATTTTAACCGTACTGGTTTCTTACATAAAAACATGTGCACTTAATGTTCTCACCTCCACTTGATCCCATTTCATTTCTACAACTTTCTGGCCCGTTTTCGGCTGCCACGTCGGCAGGGTGATGGTTGCCTGAGAGCGCGGCAGCATTATCTCGGGCTCCTGGGTGGCGGGGACAGGCTGAAGCTGCCTGGGTGCCGTGGACTCGGTCCAGCCAGAGGCGGGGACGCTGGAAAGTGCCTGTTCACAGTTTGGACCTTCGTAGCCTTCATTGCAAATGCAGACGTAGCCATCGCTGCCGCTGCTGCTGCAGTTGCCATGGTGACATGGGTTGCTGGCGCAAGGATCTGCAACAAGCTGAAACAAAACCATAAATGGGTCAATTATTCCCTCATAAGGAATGTGGTGCCTTTGCTGGGAAATGAGTTCTGCGACTCAGAGCTGCTGCTCGAAAACAAATGTTATTCCTGTGCAATATACATTTTTAACTATTTGTGCTGTTGAGGGGTGGGGGGGGCATCTCCCAAGGTCACCCCAACACTAACTCTTCCACAGATAACAGATGTCTAACAAAGAAGTATGTAGTTAGTAAAAAAAGAGCCTTCCCTAATCCAAGGCCCTAAATAAAGTTGATTTCAGGAACACTTATTTAGAGAAATTTTCTAAGGCGAAAATAGTTTAAACGGAGACTCGTTAGGAATATACTAACTTCGATCTTTTTAGCTGCCGGTCAACGGATACAGAAATCTAAATTGAAATCTCTTCTTTCACATCCTGAACCATTGTAAGGTCTCCTTACAGAAATGACTGCCCAGTTTATCGCCTCTACAGATGCACTTACCTAAATCTTCCAATTTCCTACCTGATGAACAATTTTTTTTTAAGGTGATATTTAATTAAAGGCTTCCAAACTGATCAGCTAGCATGACAACTGCAGATTAGAAGGAAGCATGGTGGTGACTTCTATTAAGCACAGTTTGATAAAAGTTTCTAACCTCATTATTTGAAAAGGTGATTACGGAGATATGTGACCCGGCTGGAAATGAAAGATAAAAATTTAACTGCATATCTTTAAATTATGTTCCTGTTCTAAGAAAAGTGTTTATCCCTGAGTTCCTTGCTGACCTTTGACTTGGATTTGTTGTTACTTAGAGATGCCACAAAAACAATATGAAATGAAACAACGTAATAGTGCTTCTCTCCAGACAGCCCAAGGGTTGAGGCATGTTCACTGAACTAATTCAATTATTATTTGCTTCTATGATAACAGAAAATTAGACTTCTATCTGATGTACCCCTGGCTTCTCAGGGCTGATAATAGAACAGAATTGAGTGAATAAGAGACTACAAAAAAATGGGACCTTCAATTTCTCCTGCTGAAATGAGTTCATACTTTAACACACATGGATAGAATTCTGCCTGGAAAAACAGCTACTCACTCTGCTAATTACCCTTGTCACACAATTTCCAGCAAACTCCTTTAGGAAGATTAAGGGATTTTGGACTGAATAAAACAGCTCCCAAAATACCACACTGTTAATTCTGTGTGGATTAACTGTGTGGAAAAAGCTTCACAAAATCTCAGATAAAAGTAGACAGGTGGGTATCTGAAGAAAATATTTAAAGTGTAAATAATTTAACATATTTACGATCTTTATCAACTCAAAGTAAAATTCAGACTCCTTCCAGGGAAGACAAAGCCCTCCCTAATCTGGCCCCTCCCCACTCCTGATGCTATCTCTCCCCCCACACTATCTTCCTCCTTTACACTCAAACCCCTTCACCTTCTTTCTGCCCTTGGATTATGTCAAGGTCATACCCACCCCAGGGCCTTTGCATCTGCTGGGCCCACACTTGAAATGCTTTTCTCTCAGACTTTGCATGGTTCTTTGCTTCAGTTTGCAAAGAGTTGGACACAACTTAGCAACTGAACAATGGCAACTACCCTCATTCACAAAGTTCTCTACTCAACTGTTACCTCCTCCAAGAAGCCTTCCCTCACTGGAAAATCTAAAGTAATCCCTTTTTTTTTCTCCCACAGTGCCTGGACATATCTGCCATGTTCATAGTTCTGTTCCCAGCATGTTGACAAAAACAGAAAATGTGGTGGGGTTTCCTTTTAAAAAAGCATTGAAAAGATAAAAGCAGACAGATGACTTGGTTTCTGAAAAGCAATGGGTGATAAGGAACAGACTGAATTGCTCCTTTAGTCCTGATATGCGCCTGTGCTTTGGATTTATTTTTAGGAAGGCTTCCTGGAGTGGGTATCATCTCAAGAAGGAGGAGGAATTTAATTCGCTGGGATAAAGGGGGCATGTAAACCAGTTTTCTGACACCAGCTCTTTTTTTTTTTTTTCATTTATTTTTATTAGTTGGAGGCTAATTACTTTACATCATTGCAGTGGTTTTTGTCATACATTGAAATGAATTAGCCATGGATTTACATGTATTCCCTATCCCGGTCCCCCCTCCCACCACCCTCTCCACCCGATCCCTCTGGGTCTTCCCAGTGCACCAGGCCCGAGCACTTGTCTCATGCACCCAACCTGGGCTGGTGATCTGTTTCGCCCTAGATAATATACGTGTTTCAATGCTGTTCTCTTGAAACATCCCACCCTTCTCCCAGAGTCCACAAGTCTGTTCTATACATCGGAGTCTCTTTTTCTGTTTTGCATATAGGGTTATCGTTACCATCTTTCTAAATTCCATATATATGTGTTAGTATACTGTAATGGTCTTTATCTTGCTGGCTTACTTCGCTCTGTATAATGGGCTCCAGTTTCATCCATCTTATTAGAACTGATTCAAATGAATTCTTTTTAATGGCTGAGTAATATTCCATGGTGTATATGTACCACAGCTTCCTCATCCATTCGTCTGCTGATGGGCATCTAGGTTGCTTCCATGTCCTGGCTATTATAAACAGTGCTGCGATGAACATTGGGGTGCACGTGTCTCTTTCAGATCTGGTTTCCTCGGTGTGTATGCCCAGAAGTGGGATTGCTGGGTCATATGGCAGTTCTATTTCCAGCTTTTTAAGAAATCTCCACACTGTTTTCCATAGTGGCTGTACTAATTTGCATTCCCACCAACAGTGTAAGAGGGTTCCCTTTTCTCCACACCCTCTCCAGCATTTATTGCTTGTAGACTTTTGGATAGCAGCCATCCTGACTGGTGTGTAATGGTACCTCATTGTGGTTTTGATTTGCATTTCTCTGATAATGAGTGATGTTGAGCATCTTTTCATGTGTTTGTTAGCCATCTGTATGTCTTCCTTGGAGAAATGTCTGTTCAGTTCTTTGGCCCATTTTTTGATTGGGTCATTTATTTTTCTGGAGTTGAGCTGGAGGAGTTGCTTGTATATTTTTGAGATTAATCCTTTGTCTGTTGCTTCGTTTGCTATTATCTGACACCATCTCTTAAAGCAAGATCAGAGGTTGACATACTCACAAATTAAGACTTTTAACACATGCCTAAAAACACAGAAATACATTTAAATCATTTTAAAAATTGTAGAGATCACTACAAAGAAATTGGTTCTGGAAGGGCAAATCTCCATGGTGCAGCTTAGGGAATGACATCACTAAGGCAAAGACCACCTGTTTGATGGTCAGAGAGGCCCCAGGGCTTCTGTCCCATCATCACAGCCCATTGCTGGACCACTGCTGGAGACCACCAGTCCCCAGAGACTGTTTAGGTGGGTCACTGTGTACAGCCGTCTCGTCGTGGTCAGTGTGAGAGTGGGTGCTGGTGGGGAGAGCTGGGTGAGAAGGGCAGGCCCCCAGTTCACCAGGCCCAGGAGGCAGCTCCACCAGGTGAGGGAATAAAGAGCTGAAAGAAAAACATGCTGAGGATAAACAATACATCTAAGGGCTGCTGTCTGGACTTCACAGATGAGAGGAAAGCAAGAATAGCATATGGGATTCAGTAAGGAATGACTTATGTAGAAGGCCTGAATATTCACTGGAAGGACTGATGCTGAAGTTGAAGCTCCAATACTTTGCCACCTGATGTGAAGAGCCAACTCATTGGAAAAGACCCTTGTGCTGGGAAAGATTGAAGGCAGGAGGAGAAGGAGGCAGAGGATGAGATGGCTGGATAGCATCACCAACTCGATGGACATGAGTTTGAGCAAACTCCAGGAGACACTGAAGGACAGGGAAGCCTGGTGAGCTGCAGTCTATGGGGTCACAAAGAGTGCAACAAAACCTAGTGAGCGAACAACAGCAATAACAATGTAGAAGGCCAGGAGAAACGCTCTTAGTAAACAAAAGAGGACAGAAGCTAAAAATTAAACTATTAATTGTATAGATTTCTAAAGAGACTCAAAACAGTGACTCCTGTGATCGTGCACACACATACACATATGCACTGAATACAAAGCAGAGTGTTAATTGCACTGGGAGGTCACTGATCCCTTCTTTAAAATAATTGTGTCATTTTTATGCTACTTCTTGGGCTTTCTGCTAGTGGCTTCAGTAACAATGCCAACTACCTGCTCTTCTATCCTCTAACACTTCAGACCAGTTTCACTTTAAAAAGTCAATTGCCTGACAACAAATACAAGGTAAAGTGCAATCATTAACCTTTAAGCAAAATCTTCGCATCATAAATATTTATTGTAAGTCCTGTTTTTCTGTACATAGCTTATTCAGTGTTTTTTTGTTTGTTTGTTTTGTTTTAGTTTGTCATGTGTATTTTATCTCACTGGGAAAAAGTCCTATTATAGATGTCACTACTGCCCTTGAATCCATTATATTTGAACCATAAGTAGAAAATAACCAAACTGCCAAGATATCATAATTAACAGACCTGACTTTGGGAATACTCAAAATTTAACAGGTGATAGATTCTGGCTTCTAATGGTGGGGAAAAAGGATAAAGACGTTGTCATGTCAGCAGAAAGAGTAAAGAGAAAGCTCATGGGCTAATGGTTTTCTGCTTACAGTAACCAACCAGCTCATGTATTAAATACTGTACTTTTCATCTGATTAATTCATCTCTTTAAGACAATTTTTTTCCACATCATGGAACTAATCTAACACTATTGACATTTTATTTTCAACTTTTCACCTATGTCAGATAATTTATGCTACAGTCAAGAGCACTTCTGGGGTGTGGATAGTGTAAGGTGGAGGCCAGGCCAGAGAGAAGGTGCCTGCCAGCCCCGGGTGATATGAAGGCAGTCTCATGTGACACTTTAGCAGTGACCTGCTTTCTTTCCTTAAACTGTCTGCTGCCCATATTTTTGGCAATTTCAGTGCCCTCTGCAGCATACAAACAGAAGAATGAAAGGTCAAACTTAAAACAGGTGTAAAAAAGGCCCACTTACAGAATCATTAAATACAAGAATATCA